GTGACGGCAAGCCACACATGGTAAGCTCCACACCTCACCGCCAGTTGATTCACTTTAGTTTACTTTGCAGTCAGTACTTTAAATATATTCTATTTATTGTCCAATATTGTTTCTTTATTAAATTTATTTATTTTTTCATTTCACCTTCCAATGTTTGTATGGCATGCACACATATTAACACTGCAAGGTCAAAGTTCTGTTTTATGTTATATTAATACATCTGTCCTTGCTTGAGTTACCTGGGGTTTGGCTTCCCCTTCCTGGCTGGCAAAGGGCTGGGAGAGCTGAAGAATAGCTGACAGCCTAATTGGGTGAAACCACATGATTCATTGGGGGGGGTGTCATTTGGTTTAGCTAAACCAGTATTTAAGTTCCCTTGAACTTGAAATGTACGGTTGTACTCATTAGTATAGTCAGACTGTACAGATGACTGTACTATACATACAGCATTATGAAAAAGTCTTGAGCCAACCCTTAGTAGTAGTAGTAGTTTTCTTGACATTTCTTTAAGTAGTCTTTAGCAATAGTTCTCCGGGCTTTTTAGAGGACATTGAAAGCTCTTCTTTGGATGTTCGTTGGCTTTTGTTCTGTTCTCTGTCAAGATGATCCCACACTGATTCAGTATGCCGAGGTCTGAACTCTGGGGAGGCCAATCCATGACTGATACTGTTCCATTGTGTGGTTTTCTAACACTGTATTGGCAGAAAGATTAAGCTGTTGCCAATCAGATGCTTTCTCAATGGTATTGCATGGTGGATAAAAATCTGATGGTACTTTTCTCTGTTCATTATTCCATCAATTTTAACAAGAACTCCAACACCAGTGGCTGAAATGGCCCCAAGCATTTTTACTACTCAGACATGCAGCTACATGTTTGCAGTTTAACTGAGAAAAAAATATTTCATGTTTCTACAAGAGCGGATGCCATTGAGCGTTCAGGAAGACTGTTCATGTCCTTGGGTGTGGACTAAAGTATGATCAACTAGTAACAAACAGAACTCATTTTACACTGCATGTTATTAGTAGCTGTTCTACCCTGTTATTGTTAGTGGCACAAGTTGTGCTGTTGGGACCAAGATAATCTAACAGTGATCAGTAGTTACTTGAAAATTTCTCCAATCTCTTAAAGTCGTAAATATCAGGTTTGGATATCAGCCTCTTTATCTGAGAACACTAATGTTTGCTGAAGACCAATGCTGAGTAACTCAAACCTAGCGCCACACACATATACACAGGATTCACTTTTTATTTCCAAGTACACGATTATGCTGCAGTGTTCAGAAATCATACACCTTGTTCATGGAGCCCAAATTAAGTTCAAAGGATCCCACAGAAACACAGGTTATGCCAGTAATAATGGGTCCATTTTTTTCTTGACTTGATAACCTACTTGAGTTATCGTGCTGTGTGCCTGTTATCAACGCCACTATTTACCAAAACTGAAAAACAACTTTAGACACATTCCACACATATTGTTGAAAGCTGTGAAAAACACGCAAAAACAGACTGAAATTACCGTCTGTGAGAGTATTTTAAGAAAAGCTGTTTCACCAAAACAATTTAAACTGTACTGGCTACTTTGTGTGATTATTTGTTTGATTTCTAAAAATTCACGATTATTTGATAGTTGTAAACTGTCCTACAGCAGAGACCAACTATTCCACAGTTGTGGTCAGAAGTTTGCATACACTCATCGAGGGCATGAATGTCATGGAAATTTGGGGCTTTTAATGATTTCTTTCCACAGTTCTTTTTCCAAGTTGCAATGATTGTACAGCATATGTCTTTGATAACTTTAAAAAACAAGAATTGGCTCCATAAGTTTGACTATAGTTTGGATTTTGTCTCATAGACAAAGAGTCAAAAGTATACTTGCACCCCCATTTTACATATCCTTAAGTAAGGCCACTTACTTGCCTAATGTTAGCCTGCTTTATCCTTTCATAAACCAGTGTTGATGTGTTTGGCATAATTGTCCTGTTGGAACACCCAACTGTGTCCACGTTCCAACCATATAGCTCTTGATCTGAGGTAAAGTTGAAGAATTTGAAGGTGCCACTGCCTTCATTATTTGATCCAATACCACTAGCAGCAAAACAGCCCCAGGAGCATGATGCTACCTCCACCATGATTGACTGCTGGTACCGTGTTTTCTGTTTTGAAAGCCTCAGCTTTACTTCTCCAAACATAACTCTTGTCATTGTGGCTAAATAGCTCAATCTTTGTCTCGCCTGACCATTTGGCTTGTCCATTTGGGCAGCTGCAAATTTCAGTTGAGCTTATAGGTGTCACTTTTGGAAGGGGGCTTCATCCTTGGTCAGCAACACCTTGATGCTGGTGTTGTAGCAGTTTCCAGTTCATGGCACGATTGAGCTTTGGTGGTTCCTGGGTTGTTCCTAGTTAGTGTCATCTTCCAGACCTTGGCAAAGTGGTGACACATCTGGATATCTAATACTTAATTGTTTGAACTGATGATCTTGGAATCTGCAGTTGTTTAGAAATGGCTATAGGAGACCTCCTCAACTTGTGTAAATCTACACTTCTCTTTCTTAGATCTTCACTGAGTTCGTTAGAATTTCCCATTGTTCTCGGTGTTGATCGATCCAATAAGTTCTGTCAAACAAATTCTTTTTATGCTGGCAAAGAGAAACTGCCAGTTGTAGTCTATCATAGTCAGTGTTGGGGAGTAACGGAATACATGTACCGCCGTTACGTATTTAAAATACAAAATATGAGTAACTGTATTCCGTCACAGTTTCCTTTTCCCTTGTTGTTCTTTTCCCT